GGCCGCGGACAGCGCCGCAGAACCTAGGTTGAACACCGGAGCCAGCTGAAGAGCACCGTCCCCGTCGCCATCGACTTCCTATCACGACAGGCAGGTTCGGAGACAAAACGCGCCAAGAGGGATGAGGAAGAGAAGCGGGGGGGGGGAAGAAAAGCCGCGAATCATATGTTTCTTGTCCGCTCGTAGCCCCGGAAATCATTGATGCTACGCTACGAGGTAGACAAGCACTAGATCATATGCACCAGGGCCAGATCGAATGTGAGCTACCTTTCTGACTTTCGACTCCATGCCAAGGGCGACAAACGCTTCGATAGAAAAGGCTGCATGCCTTTCACAATAATTAAGAGATGACAGCCGGTACGAGTTGAAGCGCTACTGAGCGCTGGTGCATCCACATTCAGTCATAATGCGCAAAGGTGAACCTACTCATATCTGGATGTCATAGCTCGGGGAATTGCCTCTTGGAGTACGCTTCGAGCTTAACTGCCCGGGATGGTAGACTCATATCTTCACGAGAAAAAGGAACACAATTACTGCTGCGTGAGATTTGTTTCCGAGGCTACACCCATCCTATCACTATGATCGCGACCTGTTCAGCATACACTTCTCTGAACTGTACACCGAAGGGCAGGGCTGACCAATATTTGGCATGGTTAGAGTGGTATCGCTGTGGTCGTGCGCCAACGGGAGAACACGCTGCATGCCCTAACTTCGTCGTGAGTGAGACCTTGTCGAGGCCGGCCCGAGGGAAGACCGCCTCCAAAACGGCGAAATCAGCGTATGTCATTGGCAGCGCGAAAGAATTGCCTCATACGAAACAAATGGAAGCAGCACTACCGTCTCAAAACCTCAAACTCAACGGCAGTACAAGGTCCTCCAGAGGGGATGGGGTCCCATCTTACCGTGCAAAGGTCTTCGATGTCATCGCAGGTCGCCGACTCTCCGCTAACTCGGATGTAGAGGTACTCAGCCCTCTCGTCGTTGGTGCAGTACACCCGCAGGCGGACGATCCTGTTCTCCAACAGTCCCCGGAGGTTAGGCTCCCAGTTGGCCTGTATCGTGGCTGCGTATAGGTCTCTCTGGGTCGGGTAGAAGACGTGCTTGAGCTCGTGGGTGTCCCCGTCAGACTTGACAAACTGCGGTGTTTCCCGCCAGAGGTACAGCAGACAGGAGAACGAAAGAGCAGAGCGAAGAACGGCCGAGTAGAAAAGAGTAACGCGGAGGACGTGGGTGAAAGGGTACAGAAGCGAGCCTCTAAAAGCCATCGTTGCTCCCACCAGGCAGGCATGGCGTAGAGCCCGGCTCTCGGTTGAGGCGGAAAGAGCAGTCTCAAATACCCGTGGGCGCTGGATTGATAACCGCTCGGCCGCCGGCGGCCATGGAGGTCAGCCCACTATGCGAACTGGTTGGTTCGCAGCCAACAAATGCGTGGCGGGTGCTTGTGGCCCACAACGTCGCGTCGTCTTGGCTATCTCGGTCCTCTCAAATGGAGCGGTGAGTAATTTATTTCACCCCGCTGCCTTTTCGCGGTGACGTCTATAGCGGCTTTTGTGATCAGGTAAGTAAGCTTGGATAAACTCGCCTCGTCTACCCTCCTCTCTTGACACGGTCTCCCCTTACCTCGGTCTTTGGCACCGCCGAAGCACAAACGTTACTCTCAGGGCATCGGCCTACACCAACCTGTCCGAAACATATATCACCCCCGATAATGCCACATTAATAACCCTAATAGAGGACCGAGTTTTCTTTCTCCCATTCATGGTGATGTTCATGGTGATGGTCCTTCTATCGGATGCTTCCTCACCGCGTTGTACCAGTAGCCGTCCTCTCCCGAGTACTCCGCCGAATCTCCGTTGCAGTAGGTCTCCGTCGTTGCTCCGGTCTTGGTGACCACGGAGTTACTCGTCGTCAAGAGGACGTCCCCGGGCGAGTTGGGCACGGCCTCCGGAATGTCGAACGAAGGCAACGCCGGGTCGGAGAACCGGTACCCGGCCGCGGCTCCGTCGACGTCCGGGGACCAGTTGGTGAACCTGCGGCGCAACCGCGACGTGGTGACAGATAGATCCAATAGTTTTTGTCGTTTATTCTCAAAGTACTCTGAAAAACGCAGGGAAATTCCCGGAAAACCCGGTGTAGCTTTGTTGGGGGGCGGTTGAAGTTTGGTTTCGCTAGGCAGAGATACCCAAAGCATCAATAGGACTTGCATCGGTCATGCGCTTTAGTTTCGAAAGGTCAACGGGCGGTCACCGATAGCTTGTGTATTCTCGTGGGAGAAAGTCCCTTCAGGTCGTGGTTGATTCGGCGATTTTTTAGAGACATCATCCATCGATCCCGCTTCTTCCGGCACCAGGAGGCAAGGGAGCGGGGGGAAGGGGAGAAGAGGGAGCTTAAGGGCGAGCGTGTGGGTATTGTAGTGACGGGCACAGTACGGTTTGCCGCAGCTCTTAATTCTGGAGAGAATATTACTGCACTATTTTTGTCAAGGATGGAAGTGTTCAGTTGATCCTACTCTCTGGTTGGCCACGTCAACACCAACTCTTTTTGTTCAGGTTGCTGCCCGTTGTTGTCGAGGATGGCGGTGTGCCGAACCCCTCTTCCGATCCTCGGGTGCGAGACAAATAGCACCCTATACAACGGAAAACGCACTAGTTCCCTCTCGTGTGGCTAGGCGAGGAGATGATCGGACGGCGTTTCGAGTGGGAGGCGATGGGTACACTCGACCGCTACTCATTAGCCGGTTTCAACTAACGTCGGCTCGAAGATGACGCAAGAGTCGACGACGACGTTGTCCTCCGGGCACGTCAAGATCAGCTTTACGTAGTTGTACTGCAGCTGGTTGTAGAGGCTGGGAGCCATCCACGACTCGATCTCCGTCACCCACAGCTCGTTCACCCCGTCTACCAAGCTCATGTAGAACATGTCTAGGTCGTGGGACTCTCCATCGATGGTCTCGAACGTCGACCGCCATTCCCCGTTCTTGGGGTCCCAGAACTGGGCAGAGCTACCCGTGCAGCCGCGCTCCTCGTTCTCTTCTAGTGCGTTCTCTGTTTTTCGGGTTGTGCGATGGGAGTAAAGGGACGCGGAATTCTGGCTATGGCCTGGCGTTTTTCTGCTATGTTGGGCGGGGACTTGGGTGCGAGACTGGTACACCTTGGAGGTGGCGTTTCTGTCCAAGCAAACAACGCGCAAAAACTCAACCATCATGCATTGCCAAATCGTTAAACATTTCAACCGCGCAAAATGTAATTTCCATTGTCTCTGTTAGTCTAAAAACTCAAACGAAAACAGAGTACTTCTATTTTGGTCAGCCCTCTCCCGCCAGACAACATCCCATGCTTGTTTGCGAAAACGGTAGCAGGAAACAGAGCAGTCGAAACGAATGCGTCTGAGATCCTTCGAATGATTGGGAGTGTGCGCAAAACCTGGGATGAAATGTACAGATCGCGGGGCATATCAACCACCACGGGCACTGCTTGACCGATTCCCGCTCAACGGAAGCGGTCCGTACTGATTCAGGCCGTGACACAACAGCCGGCCCCGTTCAAACCAACCTCTACCAGCTGTGCCGCCCGTCGGAACGGACGTTGTTTGGCTGGTACAACCCGCCATTCTTCATACAAAAACCACATTGTTCTCCTACAAATAGTGTGGTCGTCAGCCTACATATAGTCTAGCCGCAACGCTTCATCCATGTAGTTTTGAGTGGCTTCACCCTCGTTTTCATTCCCGTCTGGGGATCACTCCAATGGTTCACGCAGTTTCACCGCTAGAGTGTAAGTCCCAAGGTTCATGTCCCCGAAACGCGTTTCGCCTGTCATTGTCAGAGCTTGCATGTTCCAGGAAGCTCTCTGCACTTCACAGCTACAGCGATCAGGAGGGTTTTGTGTGTACGAAGCGACAAGCGTAGGCAAGCGATGCGGTGGGTTTCCGGTTTCTACCGCGGCCGTGCAGTCGTTAGCCCTAGCAACACTTTTCCCTCGTGGCCGATGTTTTCCTTTGGGAGGCGGCCCTTGCATGCCCCTCCAATCAAAGGCGACAGACCCCTCCCCAAGAGAACCGGGGGAGGGGGCTGCGAGACTGAGAAAATCTAGCTCTGGTGCAATTCGGCAACGAACCATCCCCAAGGGTTGAAATGGAACGAGGGTTAGGCTCACGAGCTCGCGAGCGGGCCGCCCGCATCATCGCTTGCTCACTTGTGATAGCCTGTTGACGGAATTCATAAGTGCTCATCGCTCTGCTACCCCCGCAAATTTCGCCGTCGTCGCTCCCTGTGCACTCCATTTCACATTTCGCCGACTCGCCGAACATGAGGTAGTCGGCGTCGGCGTCCTCCGGACCGCACCAGCACTGTCTGGACCGCTGTGTCCCGAACTGCCTGGACCCGGCGCACAGTTCTCCGCAGAGCTGCGCGGGCCGCCGCCACCCCGTCACGAGCAAGGATATTAGCGGCGCGATCGCCCCGTCAACACACGGAAGAGAAACGAATTCGTCCGCGAGAAGAGAGGTATGTTTGTCCATCAAAAATATTTTTCCACGTGTGGTCAACTCCGCGGTACCAGATGGTTGATCGCGTCACTCTTTTTGCATACATTGTAGTGTGCGGAATAGCCATATTTTCGATGGGTTTTGTCACCACTGGAAATATACCAAACAATTGGAATTATGTCGTATGTAGAGCAGGTGAAGCATGGGATGAACCGAAGTCCGTCTCGTGAGATCTGGATACAGCTCGCTGTTCGGCTCGCTGAGCACCTCACGGCAGATCGCGTTTGGTGCAGGTGCGGCGAAACCGACATGGTCCATCCCAGTTTTTAATGTGAGACGGGTCTACACAGTGCGATTTGTCATTTTTACTGATAATCCTCGACGCTGCCCGCTCGCTCTCCGCGTTTCACGCGAGGCTGGACACAACACAAAACACAACAAAACAACGACAAAAAGCAACAACAACTACTACCACGACTATGACTACGACAACGACAACGACAACGACAACGACAACGACAACGATGACGACTATGACGACGGTCACCACGAACACAAACACAAACGCAAGACACATTCTTCGATGACAAGAGCCGCTGCGGATAGCAACAGAAACGGCAATCCCCGCTTTCCCCCCCAAAGGTACTATGCAGACGACCGTACGTCGTATGCACACACCTCTGCGGTCATGTCCGACCGCTTTGCCTCCAGCTCCATGATACGATTACTGCTTCTGTCCTTGAAACATCCAAGGTAGGTGTAGTCTGTGGCCAAGGGCGAGGGAGACGCACACGGGAAGGAGCAGAGGTCCCTTTGAGACAGTCCACGGGGGATGACAAATCGTGGGAATTAACAGCTCAGGTCTGCAGTGGAGGAATTGTGCCATAGGCGTCATTGCGACGCAGGACGCGGTAGTTGACGTACGAGCATTGTCTAGCACCATAAGGTGCACGAAACGATCTCAAATGGGCGAGAGCCTAGGTGGGAGATGCTGACCAAGAAACCTTTTTTACTACATGCAGCTACATGCAGCTGTTTTTTGTTTTTCTTGTGTCGTCCTCATCCCTTCTCCCGCCATTGCTCGCAGGGCTGACTTCCGCTTCAGGATTGAATCGTTTGTACCGAAGAGATCCAATCTAGACTAACACAGAGCGGTCTATGCCACTCATCTTCGTTTTCTTCGCGAAACGGGTCAGTTGTTCCTTCCCTCCAATACGCACATGAAACTGAACTATCTACGGCGGTATTAGCGATCCAATATTGTTTTGGTGAGAGTTGAAACTCTGATTTGGTTATGACATGGTTTACACGGGATATCGTCGACTAAATCGGCGGGGGGGCCTGTTTAAGTGTGGAAATATTGTTGTAACGTATTTTCTGTTGTTCGGAGAATCTATTGTAGATGTTATGGCGCACCGATGGGGAAAAAAGGGAAAAATTGGTCATCCCCATGGGCTAAGTGACTGTTACTTCACACGACAAGCTACTGCTTGGAATTCTCTCTTGTGCCTGTTGCCGTGAGTCTTTGGATATCGTCGTTCCTTGAACACGACGGCTCACCAAGCAGTTCGCAGGGCGCTGGGTTATCATCACCGCAGAACCCGTCGTCACTGTCAACATCTCCCGAGTCGCAGGTGCTTTCCTCGTCAGAGCAGCAATAGACACCATCAGCATCGACTATTCCGTCATGCTCGGTGCACGGATCATCTGTTCGTGGCAGAGCGGGTCAGTTAGGGGGCAGCGCACGTTTGACAGGCCGTTGTGTTGGGAAAGTTCGAACTTTGTTAGCACGACAAATCCAGTCGTCGAGGGGTGGTACTGCTGGACGTGCAAACGCGGGGGGTAATCGATGCTACTTTTGAAATAGGCACACGAAGTACCCGCACCATCAGATCCCATGACCCCAAACGTAGCAAGAAATCGTGTTTCAGGCGCGCGGTGTGCGGTTTTCCATCACGTTGTTGGTGTGCACATCGTCTCGGCAAAAAGTCGAACACAAAAACAGTTCTCTTTCTCGTCTTCTCAAATCAAGGCATATTTTCTGGCCCCTCCGCTGTATTGTTTGAATACTAAGTTATCCCCACATAACAGTCAGGCTAACGATACGTGTATGATATCGACGTGTTGGTGGTGCAAGCCGCTTGCTGCATTGATTTCTGTGCTCGGCATGCCGTCACCAACTTACGACCGGTGACCAGTATCAACAGAAAAGACCATAATTTCGTACGAACATATATCATGAGGCACATTTGCGAATCGCGCTTTTGGCTCGCTGCTGTAAATGCCAAGTTCGTTGAAGTCAATAGACAACAGTAACAACGTGCCAACCATTTGAATAGAATCTGTCGTACACGCCCGGCACTCACCACTCTCTTCGGTACTACCGTACCGACTATCGACGACGGCCCACCAATTGCTCCAGAACTCGTCATCTTTCCGGCTGCCGTCCTCATTAAACCCCTCTGACCAGGGCAGACCCTGGTCTGCCTTTCCGGCCAAAATGAGCGCGTTTCCGACGCCCAGGGAAGCCGAGCTCGTGGGCCCTATGGGTGACGCCGCGTGCACTACAACGGACTGCACCTTTTCACCGCTGGAAAATCCGTGAGAACAGTCGTCGACGAACTCATATGGTTCGGTGTAGTTGTAGGGTGTGGCCTCTGTGAAGTTGACCGTGAACTCGAGGCAGCCATTCTGCAGCGAGCTGGAATGGTCCATCTTCGCGCATGTGATGTTCAGCCGGATCGTGGTGTCGTTGAGGGCCTCGTACAGACTTGGGTCCATGTGGGGCTGACAAAATAGTTGTCGATCAACGGGAGAGGGAGGGGGAGATTGTCTCCAAGACACAGAAGAAGAATGGTGCCCCGAGTATTGGGATACGGTCGTAGGTAGGTCGCAAAAGATACCAGACTCCCTGGGCCCAAATTCAAAGCTCGAATACTCCACAACGAAGATTGCCAGAACCAAACGGTTCGTTCGCGGAAAGCTTTCAACGCCTTCACTTTCGGCACCCTCGCCGTTCTTGCCGCATGAGCGTTCGAGTTTAGAAAACCGGTCCAGATGGTGTGGCATCTTACAGTACGCCACCTACGGTAATGAGGTGGAGCACAAGGCGAACGTGCGTGTCTTTCCCACGCACTGCTGTTCAGCGTGAAGCGATATAGCGTCGCTGGGTCGAGCTGGAAACAGGATCAAGGACGTAAACAAAGTAGAATTTGGACCGGAAGAAAAATTACGTTTTGCGGCTAGCTATGCTTGTGAGGCAGATGTACGGGCGCTGCTAGAGTTCAGGAGTGGCATACACGAGGCCACAAGCCTCGAGTCGGGGGGAAGTGTAGGTATTATTTCGGGGGCTATCCGTTGCTGAAGATGGGAGGACATTGTTTGTCATATTATTGTTGTTGCTGATCTCTTCACATGAAACTCGTATCAGTTGCTAATCCCAAAATCTAGGAAAAACTCTCGGTCCGTGGTCACAAAAAGTGCTGGCCTAATGTTTGCCATATGAAATTCATAATTTCTCAAAATGGGCACATACCTGGAGGTGGCGGACCCAGAGCTGGTTTTGGTAGGTCGCGTAGAACACGTCAACTTCGAGCTCGTCGCCATCGTTCCCAATGTATGTGGTGTTCCACGTGTCGTCCCCTACATGGTAAGCACTCGATTCACCGTTGCAGCTGTGCAGCGTTCCGTCTGTTGTCGTACATGATGAGCAGAGAACAACAGGCATTGAACATGAACAAATATATCATTATGCAGCAGTAGCATTCGCAGTTCTGGTATTTGCGCTACAGTATATGGGTGCTATTGGTTCGAGACTGGCACCCTTGTCCTCCAACAAACCGCCGGCTGGCACCGTTGACGTACCACACGTACACGTGGACATTCCAATGTCTGCGCCAGCCAAAGTCATGGCGCACCTGCATCGCGACTACCGCTGCTCGAGTGTACACAATGTCAAGTGCACGCCGAGGCACGCGCACCAGTGTAGACTACAAGTACAGCAGTAAATACATGACAATTTCATGCCAACGACGTGGCATTTTCTTTCCGTCACCTTTGCGCTCTCGCTTGATACGTCTACTCTGTAATAACGTCGAAATTGACTCACTTTCGTCTTCCTCCACCCATCCTCGTGTGATGATGTTGTTACCGAGGTTGAGCTGGACGTCACCAGGGCTGTTTGGCCCTGCCTCCGGCAAGCGGAAGTTCGGCAACTGTCCATCGCTGAAAGTGAAGTTACAGGCGTCTGTCGTCGTAAACTGGGAGGCGGACACCGCCGTCGTGGGCAGCAACGCCACCAACGCGAAGCAGCATTTTTTTAGCATGGCTGTGCAGTTGTATAGACTAGTCGTCGCTTCGTGGCGCATGATGAATGTACACGGCTGGTGTACACCGAACTGAAGTACGCGCGTATGGCGTTGATTGCCGGCAAGATGTCGTCACTTGTCGTCAAGCTTGTCGTTTGTCGTACGCATTCGATCATACGATTAGACGCGAAAGAGCTAAGCGTTTCATTTGAGCGGGTACAAGAGCGTGTTGAAATACAGCGCATTACCGCTGTAGTGCTGTAGCATGTGCGTACAGTAGTAGAATAGATGCAGCTGTATGATTTTTCATTTTTCTTAATAAGACACAACGAATCCATCTCTATCATAGAAAAGAGTCAGAGACAGATTAGCAATGAAATCATAGCGCCAGAAAAAGCTACCTGTATGTCTACGATTTCCCAGACAGCATATAGGGACATGATTGATGTATGCAATGATACGTAGATGGGGATGCGGTGTGATATGTGACGTTTGGTAAAACGTAACATGTGTGACGAGTTCTAGCGAGGAGCTCACGAATGAACTGAGGAGAAGATTGTAATTGTAGCGAGATCACGAGGTGTTGCGAGCCCCACCGGGTTCACTCCCCAACTATCCCTCAACATTGTTCGTGAGGTGGATTATGCCATCCTTACGAAGGCTACTGTGGTAGTACTCATGTGTGGTTTTGAGCTATGCAGGTGGGCAAGTGCGTGACCGTCCATCGGTCATTGGGATCTTCGGGGTATCTCCGGTATAGTAGAATCTTTGGCAAGTTGTCGCGCGTTCCGTGCTGTCATGTGTTCCTAGTTCCGAACGTGTCTTGCGACTGTTGCTCGCGTGGCTTTGTGTTTGTGATGCACCTGGGTGGCCACTCTCTTCCGTTGCTTGTTGTGTCTACGAGGACGACCAATACAACGACTTTACCATCTCTTCACATTGTCAACCGGGACAACAGCCATGCTCATCCAGCAGCACTCGGCTTGGGGCCAATCAACAAACATCTCACCTCTGCAAGTACGCTGAAGAAGAAAGAAAGTATAAGTCCAAAGCGGCATCTAGAAACAACATCGACTACTCTAGTTCCGTCACTGCTGTCTCAACAGACTTCGGTCTACACAGACTTCGGTCTGCACATCACACAGACTACTGTCTGGAACTGCACATAGGCTCAACCGCGTGCAGACACGACCCTAAGGTACAGGGCACCTCGACACGACACATTTCCTACATGGATGACACGCTAACTGGTGTCTGAAGACTCAACGAGGCCTCGGCAGAACAAGACCTTCGTCACGTACCCAGGGCGCTGTCGTGCTCAGAAAGGAGGAGTGGCAGCAGGGCTGCTGCACACAACAAAAGGGAGCCTTGGTGAGCATGTCTGTATGTTGCTCCGACGTCGACACAAATTTGATCGAGATGTCCCCCGACCTAAACAATCCACGAATGAAGTGGTACCGCACGTCGATGTGCTTGCTACGCGCTGAGCTAAGGGGGTTCTGCACCAAAGCCATGGCCCCCTGATTGTCCTCAAGCTCAAGGACATGAATGCTACCGCCACTGGTCTCTGGGGCAAATAAACGAAAGCACTGCACGCACAAACAAAGCTTCTTTCACACCCTCTCCGGCAGCAATGTACTCTGCCTCCGTAGACGACAAAGATACGATAGCTTGCGTCTTGCTACCGTGGCTAATGGCGGTCCCTCCAACCGTTGTTGCCAGCCCTGACACCGAACGCCTATCCTCAGCGTCAGCGTAGCTAGCGTCCACGTACACCGCCAGCCCCAGTCCCGATCCCCGTTTGTAGGTGATCCCGAGGTCCCTCGTCTCTTTGAGGTAGGCGAGGATCTTCCGTATCGCCTTCCAGTGCCTCTCGGTAGGGGCATGGGCGTGGCGCGCTACCGCACGCACAGCGAACGAGATGTCCGGGCGCGAGAACGTCGACACCCACATCATGCTGCCGATGGCCTCCCTCACTGGCCACTCCCCTCCACCCTCGTCATCTCGCTTCGGTCCTAGGTCGGCACCAGGGGAAGCAGGGATGGGGGAGGTCGATTGCACATCAAAGCGATTCACGATGCTGTCAATATACGCGGTTTGGGAGATTCTAAGGGTCCCAGCCTCTAGGTCTCTCTCAACGGCACACCCGTCGAACCACACACACTCTCCAAGGTCTTTGGTGGGGAATGCCTTGTTGAGGGAAGCGAGCAACTCCTTGCAATCATCATCAGACCCAGCCACCAAAATGTCATCCGCATAAATCACGATAATCATCACCACGACATCGTCTTTCATCTTGCGGAAGACGCACGGGTCCGCCTTGCACTGCTCGAACCCGTTTTCTACAAGCGTGTCGGCAGCGTGGTACCCCCACTGCCTGCCGCTCTGCTTCAAGCCGTAAATAGCACGCTCAGCCTTCACAACTTTGTGGGATTTTTCCCCGCACCCCGCGGGGAGCCTCAAGAACACATCCTCGTCTAACTTAGCGTGTGTAAACGCCTGCTTGACATCCCAGTGGTTGAGTTTCAATGATTTCTCATTGGCTACCGCAAGCATCAGTTTAATGGATGCGGATGATGGGCAAGGGGAGGATGAGTAGAAGTAGTCCACATTCGGAATTTGCGAAAAACCCCTAGCGACCAGACGCGCTTTGAACTTCTCGATTTTCCCCTCCTTGTTCGTCTTCCAAGTAAAACGCCACTTAGAACTCACAGGTCTACGCCCCTCTGGCGTACCGTCTACGAATGAAAAGGTTCCCGTGTCCAAGTGCCCATCAAACTCTTCCCTCATGGCCTGTTCCCACCCCTCTCTGTCCACAGACTTGGCAACGCCGGCTACGGTCATGGGGGGGGATTCAACGTCACTCGGACGCTTGCCTATGGGGGATTCTGTACTCGGCTCGGTCGACGCCAGGGCCCTCACGAAGGCGTCTGGAGAGTTGAGCACGAGGTCCTCCGCTCCCAGCAGGAAGTCCTCGGCCTCTTGGCGCGCGATGTTGGCCTCCTCCGCGCGCTCGCACAGCAGCGCTTGCACCGCCCTCGTCTCTAGCCCTTCCACCACGTCGACCACACACGCGAGCATCCAGTGGGTGTACTCCTCCGTGCTGTTGATGGGCAGGGTGGGCAGCCCGGCCGCCGACGCATGGCGGGCGAGCAGACCTTCGGCACTCGTTGGCGACGGCGACGACTCGTACCTCGTGTTCCGGCGAGGGTTCTCCCTGAGTCGGCGGCTGGGTGAGTTCGGCCGGCTCGCCAAAGCGGGCGAGCTTCCGTTCCTCGCGCCCGCGGAGCGCCGGGATATCCGTGTCGCTGACGCTGTCGCTGTCACCTGCCGCTGTCACTACCGCTGCCGCCACCGCTGCTGCTGCTGCTGCTGCTGCTGCTGCTGTTGCTGACGCCGCCACCGCGGCTGCTGCTGCTGCTGCCGCGGTCGTCCTCGCCGCCGCCCACATCGGCCATCCCGGTCGACGTGGTAGATGGGGCGATGCTCGCGCCCTCCCTGCTCGAGGGGGCGCCATCGCCAGCGTCGCCCGCGCCCGACTCCTGGGGCGCGGCCGCCGGCTCCGGGTTTACCGTCGTGTCAAGGTGGAAGCCTCCATCCTCTGGTTCTCCCTCCGCCCTCCCTCCACCATGGCATGACGCACCCTCCCCGCCCTCGTGCTCCCCAGTCGTGAGCTCCTCGTCCTCCTCTGCAATGGGAGGCAGCGGCTGGGGGTGCGCGGTCGGGGCGGCGGGCACAGATTGCCAGGTGAAGTTGCGAGTGGTGATCGCTTGGCGTTTTCGTCCAGGATGCGCACGCAATCACGGTTTGTGTTGATATCAGGGCCGAGGTAAAAACACTTTTTTGCTTTCGGCTCTGACTTGTGCGTGCGCTTGACCTTGTACACGGCGGGTTTGAGGAACGGGTACGTCGCCTCTGGGGGAGGTGGGTGCCCGTGCCACATTTCGTACGGCGATTTCTTGTCCGGGTTGGATGGGTGGAGGTGCAGTTCAGGGCGCTGCATGCCCAAGCTGTGGCTTCGGCCCAAAGGGAGGGGTAGCTTGGTGCTTCGGGGTAAAGAATTGGCGCTTGTATGCGGGCGGCTAGTGCTGCATCCTTGATCAGTCCCAGTGCTCTCTCAGCTACACCGTTGTATTCTGGGCTGTATGCGGGGGTGAACTCCTGCTTGATGCAATACTGGCGGCACAGCTTTCCGAACTCTCCCTCGAAAAACTCTCCTCCGTTGTCAGACCGCACGACCATGACCTCGGATGGGGCTCCGTCTGCCCTGTTTTCCGCTAGGTATCTCTCGAATAACTCTGCAGCGTCTGACTTGTTTTTCAAGAAGTAGACGCGGTTCCACCTCGTGCAGTCATTCCTTACGATGAGAGTGTACCACTTCCCCCCCAAGCTCTGCACCCTTGCCTTCCCATCAAATCCACGAAAACTCTCTGCAGTTTCTTAACTGCTCGGGTTGACGTCCTGTTGGGGATGGGCTTGGATAGCCCCTTTGCCGTCGAGCACCCCATGCACTCCCGGAGCTGGCCCACCAGCGTCACCCCTTGCTGCTTCGCCGTGTTCTTCAGCAGCACCTCGTGGGAGTGGCCGTGCGCGCAGTGGAAGTCGTTGATGTCAACGGGGGTGCGGTTCGCTTTCGCGTTACCAGAAGCAATTATGGCACAGGCTAGTTCCCTACCCGACTCTATGCGGTGACCAGTCTGAACGAACAGGTCTCCCCATAGAGGGAAGTACACCGACTCCCCCCCACCAACGAACACCTCCAACTCGTGCTCGTCTGCGGCTAAGCGGCCCTTGGTTTGTTTCAAGAGGGCTGTGAGGGACACGAGGTTGTAGTTGAGCTCCGGCACATGAGCGACCCGTTTCAACAACAGGTCTGTGGTCCCAACGCGAGAACCGATGGTCACCCTCACGTCGCCATACCCTACGATGGCGAAGGCTTGCTTCCCTGCGGCGACACTCAAAAAGTCGATCGCACTCATGGTAGTTTTCGAACGTGTTAGCGCTCGGGAACATGTGGT